CAGTGGTAGGGCATTTGCCTTGTGCGCAGCTGGACAGGCTGAGCTAGGTTCGATTCCTCCGCCCCTCTCTGAGAGCCCGGCAAGCTACTGAGAGTATTTCACCCGCACGGCAAAGCCTGGCAAGGTACCCGTGAGGTATTCAATATGCCAAACATGGTAACAACAAATCTCATGATGGAGACGTTACTGAGCCCGCTCGAGCAAATCAATGAACAACGGGAGGACAGTGCAGCCCTTTACTAGAGACATGGTTGCAAATGTATTCTCCTGCAGACTGCCTTTTATCCTTTTCACTCTCTTGTGCTGCTGAAGCATTTCAGGTCAGTAAATCTCACTTATCTTTGTTGTCTGTGTCTTTGGTCTCATATCATAAAGATCACTGCCCCAAGCAACATGGAGACTTCCCTCCCACCTCCTAATTTCTACTAGCAGTCTGTGTTTTCAGAAAGTATGTTCAATTTTCAATCTATCTTGAGTTGATTTTTGTAGCTAGTGAGAGACAGAGTTCTAATTTCATCCTCCTGAAGAGTTTAACAGTTTTAATAAGTCCTATGTCATGGACTTAGAGGCTTCCACTGTCCTCATGTCAGGAGTCTAAGCAGGTCTTGCAGGGTGCCACACACACAGGTGTGGGCTTCTCTTACCCCACCCACAGTGGTGAGCTGCCTGTCACCAGGCCCCAATGGACCATGCCCCTGACAGACCACTCTCCTGATAAGCTATGCCTGATAGACCATGCCCCTGATAGACCACGCCCAACAGATCATGCCCCCATGGACCACTTCTTATCCACTAGATAAGAAGTCTGCAGGTATGAGGCAGAGGAAACGAAACAACAGGTCTCTAGTGGACTAAGATATTCAGGTGGCATCTGAGCTTGAAGACACCCATGACAAGGAGAATCTCTGTCCAGGCTGCTGTTCACATTCAGAGGACTTTTTTCAGGTCTCTGTGTGTGCACACAAAACATGCATCTTAAGTGAGCCCAGGGCAAATTATAGATCATCATGCAGAAGACCCAAAGCAGAGGTGAGGATCCATGTATCTTGGATGCTGGTGTGAATGTCCCCATGTGTGAGGAACCATGTGTCTGTGAGATGCTGGTGTGTGTGTGTGTGTCCCCATTTATGAGGATCCATGTGTCTGTGGGATGCTGGTGTGTGTGTCCCTGTGTGTGAGGGTCCACGTGTCTATCAGATGCTGGTGTGCATGTCCCTATGTGTGAGGATCCGTGGGTCTGTGGGATGCTGGCGTGCGTGTCTGAGAGGCTCTCTCTCCCACAGAACTTCATGTTGAGTGGCCTCAGTCTAGAGTGTTGGGGAGAGTCTCCTCTTCATGCTTGGTATTCCTAACTTAGGCTTAGCTCTCAGGAAACACTGGGCATCAGAGAGATCTGGAAGACGGCTCGACTTAAGAGTGCTCACCGAGAATCTTAGGAAGATTCTAAGATGACTGGACACCTAGGAAGTGCAGAGGGCCACTGTGAGGCCGTGGCTCATGGGGCATGCATTTTTCTGAGGTGATCCTGGCAGTCTGGGGGCTCTGGTGAGAGGAAAATAAACCACACAAGAACCTTCACAAACCTCCTTGTCACTGAGGTTTCGGTGCTCTGAGGGTACTCAGGAAATTCTGACGCAGATCAGGCGTTGTTTGTGTCCCTGGGAATCAAAGCCACCAGTTCTAGGAAGAAGGGTCTGAGGCTGTGTGTTCTCAGGACTCACCGCCCACAGCAGCACAGAGCTCCGTGGGCTGCAGCACCCCTGGGGCCTCACTGTGGGCCAGCACAGGTAACAAAGCCTCTTTGGCTGGTGTGAAGGATGAACCTTAAACCAGGAGCATGGAATGAGGTGTGACGGATGAACCTTAGAACCAGGAGCATGGAATGAGGTGTGTGTGTGTGTGTGTGTGTGTGTGTGTGTGTGTGTGTGTGTGTGTTAAACCAAGAAAAGCATAGACCTTTGAGGGGTTCAAACAGGATCTCCTCAAGGCAAGCACAGGTTCAGGGCAGAGGGGTGTTAGGGTGCCAGATGGATGGGGAGGTGGGAGAGGGATGCAGATGTCTGGGTCACAGGCCTGTACCCCCAAAGCCGGGCCCTCAGCAGGGAAGGGAAAGTGGCTGCAAGTGTGCTGGCAACCAGGCAGCTTACAGCCGCAATTCCAGGGGCTGTGGGGCCCCGGAGGATGGTGACACTTAGATGCTCCTGCCCTGTGTCGCTGACACATGAGTCCAGTTGTTGGCCAAGAACAAGGGAAGCACCTCTCAGCACCCTGAGACAGGCGCTGGGGAAGACAGAGCTACATGGACAGGAAGACTGACTCCCCTAAGCGGGTGGACCCCGTGTCCTGCAGTTAGTGACAGCTGGTGTCCCTCAGAGCAGCAGACGGGGTATTTGCTCTCTGGCAGTGCTACACTTACTAGACTGGCAGTTCTGCCCAGCCATGCCCTACCCCTGCTCTGCTGACAACTTAGTGATTGACCACCTAGCTCAGAGGACACATCTGATGTTCATCTGCCTCTCGCTGGGGTGAGGTGCGGGGATACCCGCTGTTCTCCCAGCAGTGACATCACAGGCACAATGCTACCTTCATTTGGCGCCCACGGAGCCTCAGGGCAACCCAAGCCTTCCTGGCATGAGCACCCCCTTTACCGCCTCTCAAACCCCCTCTCACAGCCTGGGCATGGGGTGGGGGTGGGGGACAAAGTCAAAGGACACTTCCCAATTCCAGGTCTCAGCAGGAGCCACCCTTGGTCTGGCAGTGGCTCAGGCTCCTGGGGACCCACTCAGACCTAGTGGAGTGGCTGAGTCATGGACATCCAGGGAAAACCCAGAGGGGCATGCCACAGGAGTGAGGGGTCCTGAGGACCACTGCCTGCTCTGTCTGTGAAAGCATCTTACAGCGGTGGGACAATTGTGCAGCACCAAGTCTGAGCTAGGTGTGGGGATGGGGAAGAAATAAATCTGCCCAGGTCCTGCCTTTCATAGGGCACATCCAGAAGAGCCCATGTTCCACATACACAGACACACACATACACGTACACATGCACCCCCCAGCTCTGCCCCTCCTGAATGAGGAGACTGTCCTGGGCTCAACAATTGCCAGGTCTGGGCCACCTGACACCCGAGTGTCATGTGTCCCATGCATGAAGCAGCATCACAGGAGCACATTAGGACAGGAAGCACACCTTCACCTCTGCGTGCGGTGGGCACGCCCCGTTGGGTCCCCTCTCCCCATGCCCACATGGCTCCCTCTTCAGATGGCCCAAGTTACCTTCTGCTGTCACTAGCACCACCTGGGCATCACATTTTAGAACACTGCACCCTGAAAAGAACAGCTGAGGCATTTCTGAGCAAGCCAAACAGTGCACAGCACCTCCTTTGATGTCACTTCTACTGTTTCTCAGAAACCCACCTGGAGCACAGCAGGCGTCATGACGCACGCAGAGGCAGAGAAGCCAGGAGTGCAGGGTGAGGGATCAGGGATGAGGTGGGCCGTGGCTGCTCTTGGACAGGCAGGTCAATGAGCCTGTCACCTGGGAACCACCAGTAACTCTCTCTGGAGCTGATGAGCAAGTGTCTAGTGCTGAGAGCAAAACTAACAGGTACTTCCTGGACCCGGTAGAGCTGGGTGCAATGAACCCTCCTGTCGTTGTCATCCAGGCTCTGCTATCACCTCCACCCTTGGAGAGGAAATCACATTCCAAGGAGTACCTAGCTTGCCCTAGGTCCACCACTAGCTGGTGGCAAAATGGGATCAGATCCAGGGTTATCAGTCTCCAAAGCTGGGTCCTCCGTTCCATTCTGTGCCGCCTCTTTCAGGGCAGAATTAATTTTTTTCTGAGGGGCGGGGTGGTGTAGGGATGCACAAGCCCGTGCTGAGCGTTTACTCCTGCCTGTGTGCGTAAGGATCACAACATGTGAGCTCAGGGGACCAAGCAGGGTGCTGGAACTGAAACCAGACCCACATAAAAGGCAAGTGCTTTACCCCTGCACTATGGCTCTGGCCCTCAGGGGCAGAGTTTCGTGACCTTTCTACTCATCAGGAGTCTGAGAGGTTGAAGGCCCGAGCCTCTCCTCCAGCCTCTGCACCATGCATGGAGGGTCACTGCCTGGCCTGGTGTGGTCCCCACCTCTGGGCAGTTTGACTTTCAAGGCACATGCTCTGGGTTCAGGGAAGACCAGCACCATGCAGAGCACCAAGCCCTCTAAAACACAACACACTAGCCACTTAGTGATCTTAGATTTGCTTAACACTCTGCCCACTTAGTGACCTTAGGTATCAGGGAAGACTTGGAATCAAACAGGAAACTTTTTATTATTTATTTACTTATTTATTTTAGCTTTTTCAGTGCACAAGGGTTACTCCTGGCTTTACACTCAGGAATTACTCCTGGCAGTGCTCAGGAAACCATATAGGATGCTGGGAATCAAATCCTGGTTGGCTGTGTGCAAGGCAAACACCCTATCCACTGTGCTATCATTCCATCCCAAACAGGAAACTCTTTAAACGGCCCAAATAGGTGTCATGCACTCACACTTACAATGACCCCATATCCTCATCTTGGCTTGCATTGTCTAAGCATCTTAGAATAAACCACTCATCAAAGACCCCAAAAGCACCTCAATACCAGCAGCAAATTGTGACAGTGCAGTGTTAGGAGTTACGGCAGCAAAAAGGCAGTGGAGGAAACTCTAACACCACAGCATTGATGGCCAATTCCACAAATCCACCGTCCAGTGCCTCTGAGATTTATGTTGTTCTTCCTCCTATATCACCCTCATCACTGTGCTTTCCTGAGAGATCACCAGGTCACATGAGTTATTCACATTCACTCGGACAGCCTAGTCCTCATGTACACATAACACAAGAAGCATGTGCATATGTGCACATATACATACGCTTAGATTGGGCTTCGGGTTTGACAGACTTGCTGGGTTCGCCCTGATGACTGGGCCAGCTGCCCTAGCCCCATCCCCCAACCCATGCAGCCCTGACCCTACCTCGTTGATGGCCAGCTGCTCGCCGCCCCCTCCAGGGTGACTGTAGTGGTGACTGGAGCTGTGCACATCCTCGTACAGGTCTTCCTCACTGCCCACCTCATCAGCACAGATGGCCTTGTCTAGAGCTCCATCAGGGATGGCCGAGAGGAGAGACACCAACTGGCAAGGCGGAGCTGAGGAAGGGGGACAGAAAAGGACAGGGTCCTGTTCAGAATAAGCACTCCTTTTATGGGAGAAGAGCTGGGATTGGTTTCTGAAATGACTTTGACTTCAAAATCAAAGTCTGGTTGAAGGACTAGACAGGCTGACTTTCATACGCCATTGCTATTAATCATCAACCACAAATGTCCTACCGACCCCTGAACAAAGAAACACCCAGTATGCCATATTCAAGAGTCCTTCCAGTAGAATTCAATTCAGAATCACGAGCCAATATTTCAGGGGTGGAATAGGATCCGGAAGAAAAACACTGTCAGGGCTGGAGCGAGACCTTGCGTGTGGCCATCTTGGGATGGATCCCCGGCATCCCCTATGGTTCCCCGAGCACCACCAGGAATATTTCCTGACTGTAGAGCCAGGAGTAACCCCTGAGCATCGTGGGGTGTGACCCGAAAATCAGAAAAAAGGAAAACACTGTCAATTTATTATGAAATTTATGCTTTATTCTTTGTTTTAGAGCCATACTTGGCAGTGCACTGGAGGCCATGTGGTGCCAGGGTTCACACTCAAGGCTCTGCACCATGCTATGAGTACTCTTTAGCCCTCTGAGCCAAATCCTGACCCTGAAATGCATATTTCATGTATATTTCTCAATATATGTGTATACATAGCCAATAACTATATTTAGCCATGTATAGCCACACACAGGCATAAACATTCAAATATAGTTTGAAAATTAATGTATACGTTGTACTCATCCAACATAAAAAATCCCAATTTATTTCCTTTAAGTTTTGCATAGTTTGAACAATGAAACAGGCTGATTAAGTAGCTATCTTCTCTTACTGGCTTTTTTCCACTCACCTGCTCATGCAGGTATGTCTTATTTTTTCATTCTCACCAAATACACATTATTGCATTTCATGAGCTCATATGTAGTTGTTTTATTCCCAGCCCAAACTTTAACTCTAATGATAACCCTAATTTTAACCAACCTCTAATTCAAAATCTAACACTTGTAACCTTAACCCATATCTTTTTTTTAAAAAATTATTACTTTTGAGTCACTGTGAGATACACAGTTATAAAGATGTTCGTGATCGGGTTTCAGTCATACAGTATTCCAGCACTCATCCCTCTACCAGTGTCCATTTCCCACCACCAATGGTGCCAGTTTCCTTCCACCATCCCCCTTCCCCCAGTCTGCCTCTCTGGCAGGTGCTCTCTCTCTCTCTCTCTCTCTCTCTCTCTCTCTCTCATTCAACTCTCTCCTTTTGGGCATTTATGGTTTGCAGTACAGATACTGAGGGGTTATCAATTTTGGTCCTTTCCCTACTTCCAGCACACAGTTCTTATCCAGAGTGATCACTTCCAACTATCTTTGTTGTAGTGGTCCCTTCTCTATCCCAACTGCCTTTGCCCAAGGACTTGAAGCAGGCTTCCAACCATGGACCAATCCTCCTGGTCCTAGTTATTACTGTGCTTGGGTATTAGTCTCATAATATAAGACTAATGAGTGCAATCGTTTCCTGTATGTCTCTACTTCTGATTCATTTCACTCAGCTTGATACTTTCCATATCCATCCATTTATAAGAGAATTTCATGACTTCATTTTCCCTAACTTCTGCATAGTATTCCATTGTGTAAATGTACCATAGTTTCTTTAACCAGTCATCTGTTCTTGGGCATATGGATTGTTTCAAGATTCTGACTATTGTGACTAGTGCTGCAATAGACATAGAAGTGCATATGGCATTTCTGCAGTGTGCTTTTTGGTGTATATTCTCAGAAGTGGTATTCCTGGGTCATATGGAAGATCAATTTCTAGGTTTTTGAGGAATACCTATTTTGTTCACCAGAAAGGCTGGGACAGTTGGCATTCCCACCAACAATGAAGTACAGTTCCTTTCTCCCCACACCCACGTCAACACTGGATGCTCTTGTTCTTTTTGATGTGTGCCAGTCTCTGTGGCCTAACCTGTATCTTAATATTAAATGGAATTCTAGCCCTAATTGTAACACTAACCCTAACCTAAACATTAACCCTATTTGTAAACCAAATTCCAGCCCTAGCCCTAACTGTAACCCTAACCTGAAAACTTACTATGATAGTAATTGAAATTCTAACCCTTACCCTAACTGTAAATTTAGTCATAACCCTAGTCCTAATCCAATCATAACTCTGACCCTAGTTTCAACCATAACTCTAACCTTAACTCTATAGTTGGCCATTTGAATGAAGGTGCAATGGGCACATCTATACCTCCTGGGAACAAGCTCCAGACTTTCTCTTAGATTATATTTTCAGCGTCTCCATTTTTAAAAAGACCCTTGCCTAAAGGATATTTTAGAAATTATTTTTCTAATCCTGTCAAGGAAAATTTAATGCCACAAATATCTGTATATAGTTTATGGCCCATGGTGTTTTGGAATATCACAAGCATTCCAATAGCTAGGATTCTATCCTCTTGGGTGAAATCACACTTCTGTAGTGAATTCACACTCTAGGGCATAGATACTTCAGTGTAATATCCTGGGTCCTAGGTATGCCAAACTCCCAAAGACAGTCTACCAATTTTGACTATTCACATATTCACAGTATGTATGAACATTCCATCCTAGACACTCTTGGGATTGGCATTGTGAGAAATTTTCATTTTTTTTATAGGCTGATAGGTATTAGTTTCTTATTATTTAAAACTTTACATTTGTTTTTGATATTCATTTTATTTGTAATTTTATAATAGTACAATAGTATTGGTTTATACTTGCAGGAATGCTACATCATGTCGACCACCATTATCATCCCAATGTCCCCTGATATACTCTCTCCTCACAATACCTCAGATCATAGTTCTATTGACCATATCTGTGGGTTATTTTCACTGAGGATTGTGTAAACCTTGTTGTGCTCTTTATACCCAGAAAATGAAAGTAATCCATCTGGTGTGTTTGTCTTTTTCTTTTTAATGAATTTCATTTAGCATCACTTCCTCCAATTCCATTCAAATTGCAATTAATCTGTAAGGTCTTATCTTTTCTCCTTGCCAAGTAGTATTCCCTTGTGCATACATGCTACAATTTCTTCATCCATCTGCTGCTGAAATCTTGGCTATTCTAAATAATAAAAGGATGAACATATATCTTTGGGATTTGTGCTCATATGTCCTTTTATTGATTTTTCACTTTTTGGCTTGTTGGGTCACACCAGCAAGACTCAGGGGTGACTCCTGGCTCTGCACTCAGGAATTACTCCTGGCGTCACTTGGGAGACCATATAGGATGCCAGGGATTGAACCCAGGTTGGCTGAGCACAAGGCAAATGCCCAACCTGCTGTCCTATATCACTCTGGCCCTTTATATGTCCTTTTAGAATAGTGTTTTTGTGTTCTTGTGGGTAGATGTCCAGGTGTAGAATTGGAGGATCAAAATAGAAGCTCTGTTCTTAAATTTTTGAAAAACTCCAAACTATAGAGGTTGAACCAAATAAGAGTCCCACCAGCAGTGAATGAAATGCTTTTTATATGACATCCCTGTGAGAAGTTATTATTTTCTGGCTTTTCGATATAGACTTTTTTTGCAGGTTTGAGGTGACACCTTATTGTTTTTTCTTTTTATTTTATTTTTTTATGTAGGGGTACTGCTATTTATTCAGTCACTGATTAGCTGATTGAATTGGGCGTGAACTCCACCTTTTTTTCATGATTTTATTTACTTTTTCTTCTTATATTTATTGAATCACTGTGGGAAAAGTTACTAAGCTTTCAGGTTTAAGTCTCAGTCATACAATGATCAAACACCTCTCCCTTCACCAGTACTCATTTCTCACCACCAAGAACACCAATATACCCCCCTCCCACCCCTCCCAATGCCTGTGAGGCAGATGATTTCTACTCGACTCTTCTCTATACTGATTACATTCATTACTTCGACAAAAGATGCATCATTATTGTTTAGAATTCCTCCCCCCCCCCCCCACACACAACAATCAGAATTGCTGAAAAGGCATTGTGAAATACTTTGTTTTCTATAGCTGGTTATGCGAATCATATAATGTCACACAATTGCGATTTTGGATTTCTGCAAAAAGCCAGATAATTACGAGATTGGTTTCTGTGCATCTGGTGTTATGGCTGTGCCGGAGAGCCGCTCGTAGGGGGCAACTTGTGACCTCGGTAGGGCGTGAAGACGAGCTGGTACTGCCCCCCTACCCATGAGACTGCAGGTGCCCCGTCACCTCCAGCTCATACCTGGCTTTCCTAAAAGCTCTGAGGCGGTGGCCACCTTGCTGCTGGGGGGGGGGGGGGGGGAGGCAGAAGGGAGCAACACCCTTTCCCTCCTGGGGAGGCATGGCGCTGTAGTTTAACACATGGTCCATTCACTTTTCTGCTGCAAGCTGTCGGGCTCCGGACTAAGTCCTTTTGCCTCTGGAGCCATGGCCGTGCCAGAGAGCCACTTGTGGGGTGTAAATCGTGACCTCGGTAGGGCGTGAAGGACGAGCCGGTACCGTCCCCCTTCCCATGAGACTGCAGTTGCCCCATCACCGCTGGCTCATACCTGGCTTTCCAATAAGCTCTGAGGCAGCGTCCACCTTGTATGCGGTCCAGATGCATTTCTGCCAAAAGCCGCTGGGTTTCGAAATTTGTTTCTGAGTCTCTGGGATCATGGCCATTAATCAGCTTGATCAGGAGCCAGAGAGGCTGTTTGTAGGCGGCAACTTGTGATCTCGTTGGGATGGGGAGGAAAGGGCCGGCTCCACCCCCATATGATGAGGCCCTGTGTGTCTCGTCACTGCAGGCCCAAACCTGACTGCCCAGTGGCCTCTGGAGGATGGCGGTCATCGGGCCGCCAGGGGGAACAGGTCAAGGCACGAAACCTATTCCCACCTGGAGTGGCCTAGCCTCAGTAACCTGCTGTAGGAACAGGACGCATTTCTGCCAAAAGTCTTTGGGTTCTGAGACTCATTTCTGAGTCTCTGGGATCATGGCCATTAAGCAGTTCGATCAGGAACCA